TTATATGTCAAAGCTATTTATTTTAGTATACATTTTATATGGGACCATAGGTAGGGTTCTATCCATAGAGGGTAAATGTCATTTTACTATTTATTATTTTCGAGAGATTTTCTTTTTTGAGATTTTGCAAAATTTCGACTTTGGTTCGAGTTCTAAAACACCCTATATATAATTATTAAGACATAAAAAGCCGTCACAGAAGAGCGCCATAAACTTCGTTATTTAACACATTCAGCCATAACATTCGTTATTTAAACATATGTATGTAATACACTCATATTAACACTAATCATATTTTTACGTTTTTATTCATCATTTTCAATGCCCCCCCGGTTGCATCTTTGTAAAGGACTGTGAATTTTTTTTATATAATTTAATTTTTGTGCCAGTAAATATTCAATTTATTCTTAAATTTTTAAAATTAATGTTCAAATTTGGCGCGCGGAAGATCGGTCCTCGACAAGGATAGATAGAGTAGAAGCACCGCATGTGCAACAAAAAAAGAAGATAAATGAAAGTCGTTGATATGTTTGCGACAGCTTCCATAGTGATTCACTTATCCACGTAAGTATATATGATCTAGGTTTAAAAATCAGTTTTACTCATTATTTCAACATCCCTTTGACAGATTTATCCTCCAATATATAGTCTGTCCAACGGCAAAATCCTTGAGAGTGATAGATGTGTCTGTCATTTTAATTTCAAAGTAGTTTATTTTATTTTACAAAGAAATAAGTTGGTACAATTGGAACGCATTTAAATTTTGAGTGAGAAGTGATTACTTCAAAATATTGTGAAAAAAAAACCGTATAAAACTGAAAAAATCTAATCTTGGTTAATTAACTTTAATCTTAATTTTTTCTGCTAGTACTAAATTGTATTATTTACCTATCGTGTGATGATATTTTACAGATACTCCAGTTTTTGGTACAATATACGAGATGGTAAACAACTTTATTTGTAGCTAATACAACTCTCTGGCCATAGTCTCTGGCAAACTATGTTTTTGGCGGTCTCTGGGCACCGAATATTAACTGTAAACTATGGTCTGGGTCAACACTTAATTTTCCCTAGAGTTTTCCTCCACTTAATTTTAAAAAACACGAAACATAAGTAACAACACAGTCCAAAATGCAAAATGCAAAATATTTATCATTTCTATTTGACACAAAATTATAACCTATAATTTGGCAAGAGTTTGACAACTCTCCAAAATCTTAAGTCCAGTTCATACACATCGGAGTCCGTTTGTCGTTCATCGGTTCATCGTTGCGTCAAACCAATAATATCGAAATATGATATATCGTTTTTGAAATAAACCAATAAAAATGATTAAAAACAACAAGAGACGACGCATGACGTATTTACTTATAAACCCATCCATAGTTACCTTAAAAAATATTAGAAACATTTTTAGTGAAATAAATGGATTGGTATGGAAGTCATCTGCTTTTTTTCTGTCATCGTCTGTCGATATCTTACCTGAGAAAAAAAAACTGAGTATATCAAATATAAATACCATAAAGAATATCCTAGGTGATAAAGGTGTCATGTCGCATACACCATCAATAATTTTTAGACGTGTTTTGTCAATTTACTCGAAACTTTAAAAAAGCGACATGACACCTTTATCCACTCATGTCTTCAATCATCGAAAAATGTGATACTTTAACAACAGCAAAAGATATATAACGTTTAGAAGTGATATTACTATAGAAAGTCCTTCTGATTTTTAGTACTTTCGGTTCAGTAACTCTGTAAGCAATATTAGTGTTTGTTAGTGTATGTAAACATAACAATTCTGTATTGGAATTGCCTTGATAACCGCAGAATGTTAAAATATTAACACTGATGAAGGCTTTTAGTCGAAACGTTTATTTTTTGAAGATTAAAGATCACGAAAAAGCAGCCTTATTTGTCCTATGACTTAATTTAGAGAAAGGAATAAAGCAGAACCTAATACAAGTGGCGCAACGGGGGGGGGGGCTAGGGGGGGGCTAGTAAGCTCAATAAGGGGTCTCCTCCAAATAAATACTCCAAAGCCTACTAGTTAAAAATGGGGAACTTTTAATAATTCTGTATTTCGAAGAGGCATACAACGAAATATTAAGTGTGCTATATTTTTGGAAAGGTAATTTTAAATTCTTTTCAGTTAATTAAAAATATACAGGGTGTCAAATAAAAAATCAAATTTTCTGTTAATAACTCTTAAATTATTAATTTAAAAAAAATATACTTCATACCATTAAATTCTACGTAAAAAGGTATTTTGGAAATGTTTTCATAAAAATACAAAATTTTCCGTAGCAAAAAAGTTATAGCGATTTGTTAAAAATGATTTAGTTAGACGGTAACAGTTTATAGTTGGTTATGTAACAGATATCGATGTGCGGTTTTTACTATCATGTTTTTGATAAAAATTGAGCTCCAGAGACCGACATTAGTTTTCGTCTAACCAAACCAAATCTCCTATAGAATAGGGTTCCCTTTAAAAGCGTCCAATTTGATCCACCCTGTATATATAATAAAGATTGGTTAAGATTAAGATAGTATTAATTTTAAGGTATTATTAAATAAAAAATGAAAACATATTATGATCAAGAAATCTCTGTTTCTTTAAAATTGGTATTATCCTCAAACCAATATTACCTTACAAGTCTCAGGGCTTGAGCCCCCCCCCCCAAAAGTCGGTATCTAGTTGCGCCCCTGTCTAATACCAAGGAAAATTAAAATAAAGAATATAATATACACATTAAGGTTCACGAACTCTCTGACTTTCATTATATAGAGTGATTAAATAAGGGCAAATTTTTTAGGGGTAGTTATATTTCGACCCCAGAGACACGATTATGAGGTTTTTCGCGAACAAAAAATTTTGAAGATTGTGAATTTTTTAAAGTTTTTTTGAGTTTTTAGTTAAAAACATAATTTCTTGATAATATGTCAACATAGGTAGTAGATTAAATTTAGAAGAAAGAAAATCCAGAAAATACCCAGTGGTTCTCAAAATATAAGCAAAACATTTTTTTTGAAATTTTCAAAATTTCAAAAAAAACATTTTCATTTTTTTCGGTTATTTTGGATTTATTTGAAAAACAGTAAAGAAAAATATGTTTCTTTTATCGAGAGATCTATACGGACCCTGAAAATATTTGCGCTTATTTAAGCTCACCCTGTATATAAAATTATATGGAAAATATGTTATCGATCGTCATTTCCAAACCAACCTTTCTTCGATTTTTATTCGATCATACTGTATTTTATAATAATGATAATTAGTTTTGTAATGTATTGATTTGTAAAAAGAGGATGATTCAGATTGTTGTTGTTCTGATAAGGTGAGGCGAGCGGGGATCGAGTCAGTAGTTTACGGGCTGTAGCGTAGAGCGTTAAGGTGCGTATTCATTATCCGAACGAACGAACGAACGAACGAACGAACGAATGAAAGTGCGGTATATTTAGACGGGGACCGAACGCATGCGGCCGTTCGTTCGGTCGTGCGCTCGACCATCCGCTTCGAGTCGCTACATCAAAGGCGTTCGCCTGCGTGCGCTTTCAGATTTAAGGTGCGTATTCATTATCCGAACGAACGAACGAACGAACGAACGAACGAATGAAAGTGCGGTATATTTAGACGGGGACCGAACGCATGCGGCCGTTCGTTCGTTCGTGCGCTCGACCATCCGCTTCGAGTCGGTACATCAAAGGCGTTTAGATGTCATGGTAAAAGAATACAAGGTATGATCGATAGCGGCTCCAATTTCGTTCAGTTCGCGCATACCACCTGTGACGTCACTAGGAAAATAATGAATAAATAAAAAATAAAGAAAGTTGACAGGAGATCTGCAATTTTTGGGGTTATGGTTAAGAATTGTTTATTTTAAGACTTTTTAGTTCGTTTAATTTAATAATTACTAAAACCAGCAGTTCCAAAAATATATTTAAAAATAATAATTATCTATTAACATGGATTTGGACGATAGGTAAGAATACTGAATTTATTTCTATATTCGGTATAAAATTGTTTATTAGGTTTTTAGTTTGCGATGTTTATGGTAAATAATTTTCATTTTCATTGCCTCTGAATTCACATGAGGACAGAGTTGAGGATATCTATGGAAAAGTAACCACAAGAGGAATTGTTACATCATTTAAAAAATATTGGGAAGTTTATTGTTTCCCATCGAAAAGTAGAAAATGCCAATGCAGATGAACGTATTGTAATTGTGATAGAAGTAATTCTAAGGGTGAAGTTTATTATAATTAGTGGAAGTAATACCAAGGGTGAAGTTTATTATAATTAGTGACCTCTGCTTCTTTTTATATGTAGAAGTTTCTGGTTTTGAGAATAAATCGGTTGAACGACACCCAAAATTTAAAGGAAGTATTTGCATACCCAGAATATGCCCATCAAGGATTATATAGCTCAAATTTCCTTTAATGGTAGGCAATTATTCAATGCAAATTAACTTTTTAAGTGACTAAAATATTAAATAGTTTACAATATGGTATATCACTAAAAATATATTACTTTTAGGTACAATTAGGGCCCGATACATTTCAAAAAGTAGAATATTATTTTATATTAAATGAGGTATTGTACTAACAATCAATTTATATTAATAACGGAGATTAAAAATAACAGAATAAATAGTTCTTTTTCTTATACTACAAAATAAACTATAGAATACAACAGTATTTAAAAAAAATAAAAGTGATGTTCCGGCCGAGATTCGAACTCCGGTCTCGCTTCCCTAGCCCGACTCCTTATGCACTGCTCCATAGTAACTTGCTTAGCGATAATTCAATGACGGTATATAAACAAAAAAAAACAGGTTTATAACAATATCTTGACGATTTGAACTGGCGCGCGAATGAAGAAATGCGTGCGGTCTTCTCGTGCGGTTCTATCGTGCGGTCCCCGTCCATACCACTAGCGAACATTCGTTCGTTCGTTCGTTCGTTCGTGCGGATAATGAATACGCACCTTTACGTGATTGTAAAAGTGTATATAAGAATATACGATATTACAAACAATAGAAGTGTTTTATTAACAAATAGCAATCACCACAATTGGCGACGAGGACTAATTAAGAAAATTACCAGTAAGTACAAGAAAAAAAAAACTTAGAGAAGTATAACAATTTGGGGAATTTTGATTAGTTTGTCACTAGTAACGAAACATAAAGCCATAAAGAAATATATAGTAATAACAATAATAATAAAGACTTTTTAATAAACGCATTACCTTCTAATTATCCTGTATACTACTTATCGTAAGTTATGTTTAAATAAAAATATATGTAGGTATAGTAGTTACTTATATAAGTTAAGTAAGCGTGTATAAAATAAACAAGAAAATAAAAAGAACTTTGACTAAGATAAAACTGGTGTTCCGAGGACTAGAAAATAAATAATAATATAACCATATACTAACTTATTAACTAATTCTATACTATAGATAAATTCTAATCAGAGTTATAGGTAAGGGTGTAAGAAAAGACCTGGAAAAAAATAAGGGTATAAAGAAATACCTATATAAAAAAGAAAAGAGAGCTTCTATTTTTTTTAAATGAAAATAATAGAAGCTCTGGAAAATCGAGTATAGAGAAATACTTAAAAAAATATATACATATATATAACAATGCTGTATTAAGAAATACAGCGTGGAAAAGGTATAAAGAAATACCTAAATAATAACAAAGATGCTGTATTAAGAAATACAGAGTGGGAAAAGTATAAAGAAATACTTAAATAATATCAATATGCTGTATTAAGAAATACAGAGTGGAAAAGGTATAAAGAAATACCTAAATAATAACAAATATGCTGTATTAAGAAATACCGAGTGGGAAAAGTATAAAGAAATACCTAAATAATAACAAATATCCTGTATTAAGAAATACAGAGTGGGAAAAGTATAAAGAAATACTTAAATAATATCAATATGCTGTATTAAGAAATACAGAGTGGAAAAGGTATAAAGAAATACCTAAATAATAACAAATATGCTGTATTAAGAAATACAGAGTGGGAAAAGTATAAAGAAATACTTAAATAATAACAATATGCTGTATTAAGAAATACAGAGTGGAAAAGGTATAAAGAAATACCTAAATAATAACAATATGCTGTATTAAGAAATACAGAGTGAAAAAGGAATAAAGAAATACCTAAATAATAACAAATATGCTGTATTAAGAAATGAAGAGGGGAAAATTATAAAGAAATACTCAAATAATAACAATATGCTGGATTAAGAAATACTGAATATGAAAGGTATAAAGAAATACCTAAATAATAACAAATATGCTGTATAAAAAAATACAGAGTGGGAAAATTATAAAGAAATACTTAAATAATAACAATATGCTGTATTAAGAAATACAGAGTGGAAAAGGTATAAAGAAATACCTAAATAATAACAAATATGCTGTATTAAGAAATACAGAGTGGGAAAATCATAAAGAAATACTTAAATAATAACAATACGCTGTATTAAGAAATACAGAGTGGGAAAGGTGTAAAGAAATACTTAAATAATAACAAATATGCTATATTAAGAATACAGAGTGAAAAGGCATAAAGAAATACTTAGATAATAATAAAATAAGCTGTGAGAAATGCAGAGTAAATAGAACTAGTGTCAAATAAAAAAATAAAATAAAGGTATATGTCGTAATTATGTAATAGTTACTAGTAACAAAATATAAACAAAATTAAATACATTATGTATTGCAAAATAAAATATCTAAATGCCTATAGGTGGTATATAAAAAAAAAATGTTTATTTTAGAAAATGGCAAACATCTCTCCTCTTGAAGCATTTGATTGTGATGGAGATGCAGGATCAGTAGGACTAAGATGGCAAAGGTGGAAACGAGCATTAGGTTTATACTTGGAGGCTGCAAATATTTCCGAGCCAAAGAAAAAGAAAGCAACGCTTTTACATTTTGGAGGACTGGGTATGCAAGAGATTTTCTATAACCTTCCTGGGGCAAATATAGATGAAGACCCTACCAGTGAAAGCTTAGACATTTTTAAAGTGGCATTAGAAAAGCTTGATGAGTACTTTTCACCTAAGCAAAGCAGGGTGTACGAGAGACATATGTTTCGACTAATTAAGCAAGACAAAGAAGAAAAATTCGAAAAGTTCCTGGTGAGGTTAAGAAAGCAAGCCGACAACTGTCAGTTTGCAAATGTCGACGAGCAACTTATAGACCAGATCACAGAAAAATGCACATCTATAGAACTGAGGAAAAAAATCCTAGCTATGGGCGATGCTGTCACGCTGACACAAATAGTTATGGAAGCCAATTCATTGGAGACCATCGAGAGGCAACTATCGGAGTTTAGAGAAAAACAACCAGGCAGTTCATTATCATTACCTACGGTTAACGAAGTGTCATACAAGCAAAATCTTAAAGGGAAAAGAAAAGATTTAAACGCAAAATCGTGCTCCAGATGTGGTTCCAAAGACGCTAGCCATAACGCCTGTCCGGCATTAAACGTCATCTGCCATAAATGCAAATTTAAGGGGCACTATGAAAAATACTGCAAATCAACAAGAATATTCCGTCCTACTAATAAGTCAGCTACAACAGGACCACCAAAGAAGAAATTCAAACCTGGACAAAATGATAGGGCTGTTCACAATGTATCAGATGCAGCCGACGACACCGAATACGTATTTCATCTAGATGGCGACGAAGATACAGTCACCTGTGAAGTAGGCGGTGTTAATGTTGACATGCTTATTGATTCGGGAAGTAGGTCGAATATAATAGCTGAAAAATCTTGGGAAATCCTAAAGAAATCGGGAATTGTAGTTTTTAATCAAACAAAACAACCTAACAAAGTTCTCTTTGCATATGGTGCAAAAGAACCTTTAAACGTCTTAGGATCATTTGATGCTAAAATAAAACTAGGCGCAAACCAAGAAAATGCAACTTTTTATGTAATAAAAAATGGCAAGAGAAATTGTTAGGCAAAACTACAGCGATCTCTTTAGGAGTTCTTAAAATTGGTCTTAATATAAGTAATGTAATAGAGTTAGAGCCATTTCCAAAATTTAAAAACGTGTTGATACCTATTCCAATAGACAAAACCGTCAGCCCTGCTAGCCAACCATATAGGCGGGTGCCCATTCCGCTGGAAGCTAAAATCAATGCGAAATTAGATGAATTACTTAAATTAGATATAAATGAAAAAGTCAATGGACCATCGGAATGGGTATCCCCTATGGTACCTGTTTTAAAGGAAAACGGGGGTGTCAGAATATGTATAGACATGCGCAAAGCGAACACTGCGATACAAAGGGAAAATTATCCTCTACCCACAATAGACGCACTTCAAAACAAATTTTCGTAAAGCCAAGTTTTTTTCACGACTAGATATTAAAAATGCATTTCATCAAATTGAAATCGCCCCTTCATCCAGATATATAACCACATTTATATCCAGCAGAGGGTTATATAGATATAAACGTCTTTTATTTGGGATAAACGCGGCCCCCGAAATTTTTCAAAAAACCATGGAAACGATGCTGCTTCCATGCAACGGAACGGTTAACTTTATAGACGATATATTAATATATGGTACATCGGAAGAGGAACACGATAAGCGGGTATCTTTGACTTTAAAAATTTTAAAAGAAAATAATGTTCTTCTAAACAAAGAAAAATGCGTATTTAAAATTTCCGAAGTAAAATTTTTGGGGCATATTTTATCCTCTCAAGGAATACGACCATTAGACAGTTACGTAGGGGTGGTTAAATCATTTAGAGCTCCCAAAACTTTAGACGAGTTGCATAGTTTCTTGGGGTTAGTTAATTTTATTGGAAAATGGCTACCAAATTTAGCTACTAACAGAACCGCTTAGAATTATTTTAAAACAAAAACTGTCAAAGAACGCTGACATTTCAATATTCTGGACTGATAAACAAACCCAAGCTTTTAATGAACTTAAAGTCTGCTTATCTCAAATTAAAACACTAGGCTATTATGATCCAATGGATCGTACTCAGGTCATTGCAGATGCAAGTCCAGTAGGTCTAGGGTCCGTACTTATTCAGTTTTACAATAGCGGTCCTAGAATTATTGCTTATGGAAACAAAAGTCTAACAGATGTAGAGAAGCGCTATTGTGAAACCGAAAAGGAGGCCTTGGCCTTAGTTTGGGCCGTAGAACATTTTAAGACGTATCTGTATGGTAAGGACCAATTCGAACTAATAACAGACCATAAACCACTCGAAACTATTTTTGGTCCTAGATCTCGTCCCTGTGCACGTATAGAACGTTGGGTCTTAAGACTTCAGTCGTTTAATTTTAAAATAATTTATCGTCCAGGGAAAAATAACATTGCAGATCCGTTATCCCGACTTTGTGAAGGGCAAGTTCAAGCATCGGTTGAGAGTCACGATTTTGTCCACCAAATTGTCGCACACTCTTGTCCTGTCGCTGTGACAGTAAAAGAGATTAGAGAAAATACCGAATCTGACCAAGAAATTTTAGGACTAAAAGCAGGCATTGAACAAGATCGGTGGAGTGATGCTATCAGACACTGTCAAGTATTTAAAGAAGAATTCTGCTTTAGTGACGGGATTCTCTTAAGAGGTACGAGAATTGTAATTCCTGAAAAACTTAGACAACGAGTTCTAGAATCGGCGCATGAAGGCCATCCAGGAATTGTTGCAATGAAAAGTAGACTACGTACCAAAGTTTGGTGGCCCAGAATCGACGAACAAGCAGAAAAGATCGTTAAAGCATGTAAAGGGTGCACGTTGGTATCATCTTCCAATCCTCCCTATCCCATGAAAAGAAGACAAATCCCAACAGCTCCCTGGATAGACGTGGCCATGGATTTTATGGGTCCTCTGCCAAAAGGGGAATATCTTTTTGTTATCGTAGACTATTTTAGCAGATATAAGGAAATTAAAATCATGAAAACAATAACGTCGACAACCACCATTAATGTCCTTAAAGAAATTTTTTCAAGGCTGGGTTTTCCGGTATCAGTAACTTGTGACAATGGCAAACAATTCACAAGCGAAGAAATAAAATCATTTTTTAAGGAAAAAGGCATAAAATTATATCACTCAATTCCATACTGGCCTCAGATGAACGGGGAGGTTGAACGACAGAATAGGGACATCCTCAAACGTTTAAAGATAAGCCAAAGCCTCAAGACAAATTGGCATGAGGAACTGGTAGATTATCTTATGATGTACAACAGCACACCTCATGCAACCACGGGGAAAACTCCTAGCGAATTATTCTATCGACGTCAGTTTAGGGACAAATTACCAACTATCACAGATAACCAACATAACGTTTTTGATGATGAAACAATAGACAGGGATCGAGTACAAAAAGAAAAAGGTAGGGAAAATATGGATAGGCAACGAAAGGCAACGGATAATATTGACATAAATATTGGCGATAAAGTATATCAAAAAAATTTAATTAAGTCAAATAAAGTCACACCAGAATATGACTTAACACCACACACAGTAATTAAAAAGCTAGGCGGTGATGTTGTTATTCAAGATGCGCAAACCGGACAAGAGTTAAGGCGAAACATAGTTCACCTTAAAAAATTAGAGGGTCAGTGGCAAGTAGTAAATAATGAACGTAATAGAAAAAAAAAATAGAAAAAAAAACGGTCATAGGTCAACTAACAAATTTATTAACCAAATAAATAAATAAATAACAATAATTAAACAACCAAATAATAATAAAAAAATAATAATATAAATAAATAAATAATATAAGAAATCATTTATTTACAGATTTCATTAAACAAGATGAGAAATACCTGTTCTAAAGATGGGGGTGAAGGTTGTTAATTATCCTATTATTATTATGAGTTTTCTAGATAATATGTGTTACCATTATTATTATATATTGTTATATTGTTATATATTATGTATTGCTATTATATTATATTGTTATATTGATATATATATATTTGTCATTATTTTTATCATTGTTATTATTAGAGTTATAGTTCTTTCGTTAGCTTTGTTCATTGTAATTATATTAGATTATTGTTGTTTAAAATTTTGTTTTAAGACAAAGGAAGAGATGTAATGTATTGATTTGTAAAAAGAGGATGATTCAGATTGTTGTTGTTCTGATAAGGTGAGGCGAGCGGGGATCGAGTCAGTAGTTTACGGGCTGTAGCGTAGAGCGTTACGTGATTGTAAAAGTGTATATAAGAATATACGATATTACAAACAATAGAAGTGTTTTATTAACAAATAGCAATCACCACAAGTTTAAAGCCACTTTACACGGTATTAATTTACAAAATGCCCTTGCTCAGAATAAATTCCTCAGTGTTATGGGGTATTGAAATCTTAACATAAAAATTACTGAAATAACTCTTAAGTAAAAGACAGACCAACTGAAGATAAATGTATGTTGGGGAGCGCCCAGTCCCAAATGTAACCAAATGTCTGACAGACATAATGAGATAAAATTAAAAGCAAAATATCCAAATTTGGAAAAGTTTGGTAGATTTATTGGTCGAAATATTGAATACGCTAGCTACTTTATATTCATTTTTTAATCCCGAATGCGAAAGTAAAAAAATAATTGCAGTTCTCATGTATTTTATGGCTATTATACATACATATATACATCTGTATTACATAAGATCGAATCCAACATGTGAATATATATTCGCCGATCTTAATTTATAATACAGTAACGTTGATAATTTGCGGCGTAGTGTATAATTTTCATTGGGAACAACTACTTAGGTAGTGCTTCGACAGTAATTACATTTAATGTTTGTTTCAGAGGCGTCACGTCATTCCTCGACGCCTTTAGTCGAGGTTTAAAAAGAAAATTAATTCATTTGATGTCATTTACATAGTATAATTTAGGAAGTAAAGAGTTCAATACATCGATGGCTACAAAGGGATCCAAATTGATTGATAATAAAAAGTAAATAATATGAATATTTTTAATGGCAAATGAAATAATTTTTATTACAAGGGAGATTAATGAACACAAGGTAAGAAATAAATGGATTTTTTTTTGAATTGAGATTTTGGAAAAGTTTTTATAAGGAATTTAATTTCTGATTATAAAGCGTCATTCAGAAACTATGTTTATCAAAGAATGATATTGAAATAGCATTTCGATATCATTCTTTGATAGATAGTTATGCTTCATTTTGATTAACGTCATATTTTTTGCTGTTGTTAAAGTATCACATAAAGTATCTCTTCCGTAGCATTGAACTAAATAAATTTTGTGCTTCTTTAACTTTTTAAAACAGCTAGAAATATGACCATAGATAAGATACTATATAATATAAAATAGATAGAAAACTCAATACATTTTGATCGGACCGAACGGTGGCGCCATCTCGTGGGTCCTGTAACGAAATAAAACATAAATTTAAAACGGGTAGTTTCTATTTTTTTCAGATTTTTCCATTAATTCAAGTAAATTGATTCAAGAAAGAACCAATTTACTCGAACCATCTTTATTGAACTGAATATAATAACAAAAAAAACAATACAAAACATTATAATAATAAAATGTATATAGATCTATAACAATTAGGGCAACCTATTTTACAATTAATTAACAATCTTAAAGGAAGGGAAACTATCTTGGTTTATACTATGTAACACGTATTAACACTTACTACAGGGGCCGGAAAGTGAAATAGCAAAAACGGTTCCACCGTTTCCACGGAAATTTCAAATAAAATAGTTCCAGCCTCGGGCGCTAGGTGGTAGTGCAATTAATGTTTAGGTTAAAATGTTGCTACTAGTTATTGCCAGATGGCGTTTAATCAGATTTTTTTTGTAGTTTCCATAGTTTCCAACGGCCATTGTCATATTATTGTCAAATTCTCAAAAAATATTGTCGTTGTCATAGCGCCAATCATAATATTATCAAAAATAATTATCAAAACCATCAAAACGTTTTTCAAACTAATTTGTTATATGTGTTTTTATTAGACAATTCATTTTGTTTGTGGCCCTAAAAATATAATGTAAGTCATTTATTTTTGCTATCATTTAAGTACCTATTTATATTTACTCCATTTACAAAATTTTGGGCGTATTACGTTGGTCTTGTTTTATTATAATAAACGATATTTAAATATTTCACTTATAATTAAAATCTTTAAATAATAAATAATATTTACACATGTTTGGCTTTAATTTTATTTAATAATTGTATAAATGATACTGTTAAATCTTATTTTTTACACATCACAACGATACTTGTTATTAGTATTGTTGAATTTGTGTAAAAAATAAGATTTAATAATCAAATTTAATTATATATTTTAGAGTAGAATTCAATAAATACGCTCATTTAAAAAGCCCGCGCTTCGATCCATTTAAAACAAGCCCTACTCAATAGATGGCGCCACTTCTGTAGGACCATTTTTCAGTATGGCAAAGTCCATTCTTTTTCTAGCTAGGTATATTCTTTGACTTACTATTTAATCATTCGGAAACATATGCATTTGGGCATCTTTTTGGTAATACATACAGCCAGTAACACAACATTTAAAACCCACTGTCTACGATTAAAAAATATGAAAAAACACAAGAACAGAGCCGTATAAAAATCACAAACAAATTTAAAACACGATCTACCGATAACGGGCAAAATAAAATATAAATTGACAACTGTTGACAGGTTAAATTTTACATTTGACGGTAAAAGCCAGGTAAAAACAGGTAAAATTTTAAATGTTGTATTTTTTTTGTTAATTGCGCCCCCTCGTGCGTCTAGTACAGGACCTTCGGCTACAACCTGTCACTTCCATAAGAGTTTCCTAGGCATGAATATGACGTTAATTAAAATTATAGAATGAAAATGAAATTATATTACCATAGAAACGCGTTTTGATTTATAGGATTTAGAAAAAAATTACTATATATTGTCATGTTTTCTTTAATTTCCTCTAAAACGGTATGGAAATTTGGAAAATTACAAACGGGGTTAACTAATAATAAAGAAGTTTTTCCTCTCGTAAAGACAATCCGGGAACATACTTTATGTATATTTTAACTCCTTTTTCTCCTTTTTTCAACTCATTATCCCAGTTAGCTTATAGACTGGGATGCAAACTGTTTAGCGGCAATTAATAGCGTCTGGTGTAGTGCTGAGAGAGACTAATCTTGGTCTTAGTCTTGGTCCAGGTTTTGGACAAGGGGCCTTGGTGTTTATAGCTATATTTATAAATAATGGAATGACAAGTTAATTATAATTTGACTGGCTAGGGGCAGATTACTGCCGGGTGAATTATCTAGATCAGTGTAATCAGAGTCAGCTTGCCAATAATTCCAAACAAGATTCATATTTGACGTGAATTTGCATTGTTAGACTCTGCTGTGATGTTTGAATCTGCTTCAAAATACTAACTTTCATGTTTAAATTAATTAACTTAAGTAAAAAATACCAAACAGTCCATTTAATAAATCATCATCATCATTTTCAGCTTATTCAGTCATTTCCAATTACGGTGTACCTTTCTTCACATATTTAGATATTCTTTTTCTAGTTTCTAGATCCCATTGTTGTCTATTGTTGGTTATGCGTGCCCAAGTTAACCCTGCTAATATCCTAATATCATGGTCCCATCTCAAGTTTGGTCTTCTTCTAAGTCTCTTTAATTCCTCGTGGGTACCATGCTATAATTTTTGTGGTACATCTGTTATCCGTCCTTTTTGCCAAGTGTCCTGCCCATTGCCACTTGATCGATTTGATTCTGTGGGTAACATCTTTTACCTGAGTCCTTTTTCCGTATCCACTCTATTCTTTTACGGCCTTTGTTGATTATTATCAGCATATTTCGTTCCATTGAGCGTTGTGCGACCGGCAGTTTCCTTATAATGATCGTTTTAAGTGTCCAGGTTTCGCATGCATAGAACATGACTGGTAGTACACATTGGTCGAATGTTTTCTTCTTTAGATAAAGCTGAATTCAATATTTGAATATGATTGAGTTTCTTAATTTTCCTGTTTATTTCTGGTAGCAGAGATTCCAAGCTGTGTATTAGTTGTCCCAAATATATATATTCTTCTACTATTTCCAGTGTTGTTGTTATTTATTAGAATGTTTTTTTCTATATACTAGTTCATTGTACATTATTTTAGCTTTGGTAAATTCATTTTGAAACCTACTTTATTGCTGGCTGTATTTGGTTCATTAATTTGTGCTTGTAGTTCTTCAGGACTATTGGCAATTAGGACTATGTCATCAGCGAATCGTAGATACTAAAGATATTCTCCATTTATTTTTAATCCATTTAATCCTTTGTTAGTTTTGTTGGTTCAGTCCAGTTGACGGAAGATTTCTTCTAGTTCTACACTTAATGAATAGAAGCCTAAAAATGTTAGATATTAAGATGGATTTATTTGATCTACGTGTATGTTTCAATATGAACATGCAGGGTCATTTTACCGTACTCCATCATCAAACTGAACCCACCGCTGGGCGTGTTTTAGCCATACTTACTATAAAATTTAATGATTCTCAATCCACTTTACTTTCGATCTTTCGATAAAACAATTTCGAACTGATCGACAATATTTATGAGACCTCTTAAAGGAAAAACAAAAAGCAGTTATATAATGAAAACAAGTCCAAAGACATTTTTGTCGCACAATGTGCGAAATTATTGGGTTGGTGGCCTACTTTTCGTTAAAAATGCATGTTTACGCATTTTTGCAAGATTTTAAAACCTTTAAATGGCACAAAATACTAAAAGAGTACCTATAGAGTAATTACTTTGTTGTATGTACTTATTTATTCGTTACAAAACCCTTGTAATCTCTTGATCAGCTTTATTTTACAAAAAATCTGTAATTTTGATAAGTACAGTTTTTAAAAAGAGAGGTTAAATCTTTAA